CAAACTGGAATAGACACCCAGACAGTGACATCGGTAAATACATAACCTCCTTGGTGGCGGTAGAAATCGTTGCTATTATCCAAATAATACACAAAACAATTAAAGCATAATCATGAATCAGTAAAGAATAAAACAACAATACAGCGCAGAATCGCATGGCCGGATGCACTCTTAGTGAAAAAGTTTCCTCCATTAGTGGAAAAGGAAGGGCGCCTTTTGCGGCTGGATATACTTAGCAACAGAAGGGCGCTCTGTACGTTGGGCACGAAGTATAGGAAACTTGCATGGTTAAAAAGAAGGGCGCCGCCTACGTTGGGAACGACTTCCGCCTCATTTTTACAATGCGAGAACTCTAGCTTGTATTTCTAGTATCTTTGGTTTTTGTACTTCGCATCTCGCACAATGTGGTCGTTCGAGTAGGCCTGAGATATGTTTGTTTAAGTGTCAAAATCTCGGTCAGAATCAGTTTTTTAACAAATTTGAAATAATTCCTATGAAATATTATATTTCACAAGTGTCAAATACTAGCAACTGAAAATATCACTGTTGCATTATAACCTACTTTAAAGTACCTTGAAAGTACACCCCTAAACTGACCCAGTTATAAATAGAATTATCAGGCCATACCCAGTGACCAATCACGTTCACTATCATCAGTCAGTTGACTCCAAGACACAATCGAATAAACACCTATTTTAATATATCTCTGACTCCAAGTGTATTGCTAGTGTCTACCGTAACATAACATGGTGACCCCGACCTCAGTTTTCTAGCAGAAAAGGAGGTATAATACATGCAGAGAAAAATTCAAAGTGGACTTTGTGGAACTTTAAATACAAGATTCACTAGGAACTTTGTAACCTTCATAGTTAAATAGGATTATAACATTCGGAATTACACCACATTACTTGGAAGTAAAATAGTGAGTATCTGAACATTTTATCTCACTAGAGGAGAAATCTGTAGCGTACATTCTCCTTAGATCAACAGCTTAAGACGATCTCGAAAGCAGATCAGCAACTATAGTCTACACTATCATAGGTAGAGCTATAGAATAGTGAGTGAAACACTCCCAGCTACCAAAGTTGATCGATCACTTTAAACAACTAGCCAGCTGTTAAACAATCTAATACTTGATTTTAGCTGACCTGGCAAAGCAACCTGTCAACTCATAGTGATAAATCGTGAAAGTTAGCGAAAACAAAATAATCCAATTATGGCCCAGGCACCAAATCAAGCCATAGCAGAACCAACAAATCAACTGCCGCTAATAGCCCCTTTGGGACTACAAGGTGTAACTATGCCAAAGGTAGATTTTGAATCGTCCACAGTATTAGACCAATTTAAACACTTTAAGGAAACTGTGGAAATGGCATTTGCCGGCCCTCTATCCACGGTACCAGAGGCCCAACGTGTGAGTTACACAATGCTATGGTTGGGACAAGATGCCATGAAAATTAGGAGAGGATGGATTTTGACTGATGCTGAGAAAACAGATCTCAACAAACATTGGGAAAAATTTGAAGCATTCATCCAACCCAAAACAAATTGGAATTTGGCACGTTGGAACTTCAGAAGCATTAAACAAAAGCCTAAAGAGAGCATTGATGCTTTTGTCGCTCGCGTCGAACTTGTACTAAAAGAGTGCGAGTATCCAGAGAACCAGCATGACCAACACATGCTTGAAGCTATAAAATTCGGAACCAACTCCGAAACAGTACAAAAAAAACTCTTCCGACAAGCGAAGACGTACACATATAGCGATGCTATCAAATATATACAGTCAAAGGAAGCTGCTGAAAAACAGTTTAACGAACTTCAGCGAGTTGCCAAACATGGCACTACCGTTGATGAAATTAAACAAAAGCGACATTCATCTACAGATAACAAAATTCAGAATAATGCGATAAAAACCATAAAGAATTGTGGACATTGTGGACTTGATCACCCACCAAAGCAATGCCCTGCATTCGGGCACGAGTTCCAAAAGTGTGGTAAACAGAACCATTGGGCGAGAAAATGTAGATCTAGGCCTAAACAACATGATGGAAAGGTAGACACTGGCGCACAAACAAACCTCATAAACTATGAGACATACAAACAGTTGTTTGGAACAAATTACGTTATCAGAAAAACAAATACAATCCTAACAGGGTATGGTGGCCGCAAATTTGAGAACCATGGCGAAATTAGAATTGATACTGAACACAATGGTCATACTGTGACAAAGGTAAAATTCTATGTTTCAAACTACGGTAATAATTTGTTTGGACTCAAACTTTGCAAAGCCTTAGGAATTATCGAAATTCTATGCGGCAAAGATTGCATCGACTGCGCTGGCCACTACGACGTTTGCGAAGTGTCAGACACTCGGGATGATCTAATTCAAAGAAACAAAGACATCTTCACTGGCATAGGATGTATGCAAACTCCTTACAAAATAAAACTAACAAGTGATGCTACACCAGTCATAAACCCAGTTCGCAAAATCCCTGACGTCCTTAAGATACCTCTAAGGAAGGAACTAGATAGACTGCTAGAATTGGGCATAATTAGGCAGGTACAAGAACCAACAGATTGGGTAAATTCAATCGTACTGGTCACAAAGCCAGATAAAACTTTACGAATTTGTTTAGATCCTAGAAATCTAAATAAGTACATCCAACGACCCCACTACTACACCCAAACCCTCGACGAGGTATTACCAAGCCTAAGCGGATGCCAATACTTCAGCACCTTTGACGTACGGAGCGGTTATTGGAACATCCCGCTACATGAGGATAGTCAACTATTGACGACCTTTAACAC